GTGGAGAAAATAAGTGAGAGAGAAGGGGATAGAGGATTGGTCCCCACACTCTAGAGAAGAGAGAGAAAAACAATGTTTCACAGCTGGGCAGTGGATAGCCATCCCTGCCTGAAGTTCCAAACTCACTTCTTAACAGAGACATGTCCCCATCAGAGTCTTGTTATGCACAGAGGGTCCCAAGGCAAGATACTGAAGCACTTATTTCCCCATAGCCATCCCAGTCAGCTGCAAAGGGAAGGTATGGGGTCCCTGCAACTGTGTCCTCAGTAGCTCATTGTGGCACACGCTGATGAACCAAGCTTTTCCAGAGACCAGCATCATTTCCAGGAGGCCTCTGTGGGGGAACAGGAGAAGGCACAAAAAACATAGAGGAGCAAGATATAGCAGAGAGGGCTCTGGCTGCTGCCATAACCATCCAACTGAGGTCATTCCTGGCAACATCCGAGTAACCTCCTAATTGCTAACCACAGAGGAAACCTTTTCCTTTCTTCTCATCTCTGCCATTGGCAGCATGTAGTACTGCTAATTGTTTCCTTCCTTCCTTCTCTTCCTTCTCTCTTCTTCCCACTCTCATCATCCCACCTGGCTTTGCCTCCTTTGTAGATTTTTAGCCCTGCTCTGCCAATGGTTCTCCATTTCATTGTGATACCACCCAGTGGCCTCTCCTTTAGCCTGTAGAAATGCAGCTCTGACAGGCACTCCTGCTATGTTTTAGATTATTTAACATAGGTCCAGAAAATCATCTAAGGGTTCTCTTGGCTCTGCCAAGCAGGAACCTTGGCAATGTGTTTTGGCCTTATCCAAGGTATTGTGTATCCAACAGTGAAGGAGAGTCCAGGGCCCATGGCCCTCCTGGCCTGGGTTTCTGTGATGCATTTAGCTGTGTCTATTGATCACCAACATATTTCATGGAAGAAAATAAAATAGAAAGTGGTTACCAAGTCCAGGTATCATGCACAATGCACAAACCTTCAAGACATTATGAATTCTGCCAGTGAGTTCTTGATGTGGTCACAGGTTTATAAAAGATGATTGTCAAAGAGTTGGTTCTGTCAGGCGTGAAAAAAAAAAATGCATGTTTTGCTGTTGCTTCATCAACACCACATTGGCCAATAACAGTGATCCTGCAGTTGCTCTGAAGGACCCAATCCAAAGATGCACTTGGCCAGCCCTGGAAGCCCAGCCTTTTACTCATCAACATACTTTTGGTTATGTTTTTATGAGGCAGGCGGCATTCCTCCCCTGTTGTTTCCAAAAGCCACAGCTCAGCATGTTTTCCAGAAATCGTTTTAATAAAAGACATATGAAAAAGTAAAACCCTCTGTAGCATGTGTGAAATGAAATTTAAAAACCAGTTACAAAAATATCAAGGAATCTGGTGGGTGAATCCACCATCAAGGGGGAAAGGGGGAGCCTGTGCCCCCTTCCTGGGTGACATATCAGCTTCTTACAAGGGACAGAGCACAGGCTGCCCTCCAGAAAGACTAGTTATAAAGGGGAAGCAAAGAATGCCAAGAAAAATAATACAGCTTGGTTTAATTAACTTAGTCGCATGCATGTTTTCCTTCTGTCATGGTAGCTAACTAAAGGTTTCTTGCCTGAGCCACTCAATCCTTACACCCTTTACTCTTCTCAGTCTCTATTCAGTCCTGAAATCTTACAATCCCCTTAGGAAAATCCCCTCACACATGGGTCATCCAAGGATTCTGATGGCTTCATCTGCATTGGGCAAGTTCCTAAGTCTTGGTTTTGGTTTTCTGAACTTCTGAAAAGGTCAGTCTGAAACTCTTACATACACTGAGGGGGGCTATAAACTGATGCAAACTTAATGGAGGGAAATGTCATCAATCTATTAAAATAAAATATACTGTGACTAAGGTTCTACTTTATGAATTTATAATATAGAAACATGTTCTCAGGTACTTAAACATATACCCAGATGTTCCTTAACTTATGATAATGTTATGACCTGATAAATCCATTTTAAGTTGAAAACATCTAAAGTCAAAATGCATTTACTACACTCTACCTACTGAACTCTATAGCTTGGCCTCACCTACCTTAATGGTACCCAGAACACTTACATTAGGCCACAGTTGGGCAAAATCATCTAACACAAAGCCCATTTTATAATATCTCATGTAATATATTGAACACTGCATTTTTTGCACAATGGTAAAATTGAAAAACCACAAATAATTGTACGTGGAAGATGCTCTGTACATGAGATATATCATACAATTTGTTTGCAAAAATACAACTTTCCATGAGAGGGGATTTGTTCAACAAATTATGCCTATAATCAAGCAAGAATAATATGGAATTAAATATTGCCATTGAAAACACTAAAATGGATTGAATTATATGGATTGCCATGATAAAATACCACTGACATCTTAAATGAAAACTAAATTTCAGTACCACACATATTTCTTCAGAAAACATAGCATTTGCATAGATACAGGCTCAAAGAACATGTTCCAAATGCTAATGGTGGTTCTGGGAATTAGGAAAAGATACATGAGATTACAGGGTATTTTCACCTTCCTCCTGCATTCTAAAGGGGTGTGTCTAACTCTCGTTGCAACTATATCATTCATCAAGGCCTTTCCATTCAGCTCTGCTCAGCTGCCTTTCTTTGGGACTGTGACCAAGTCCAGAAAAAAAAAAAATCTGCTTTCTTTTTTACCTGCCTTATCACATCCCTTTCTTGATAAAATAAATATGCTTGAATGGGGAAAGGCTAAAACTGAGAGAGAAGGTAATGAATTAACAAAAGGAAGATAAGCAATTGGACTAAACGTTCAATTTGTGTTTATAATGTTTTGATTAGTTTTATAAGATTTATTACCACAGTTCAAACAAATGGGACAATGGGGGTACAGAATAATTGTTTTACTAATCATACATGCAGGTTCTAAGGGTTCTCTTGGCTCTGCCTCTAAGGAGGAAGGGAAGCCCAGGAGTCCACAGAAACCCTGTTTTACAACCCACTCTCCATATCCTTGGGTTCTGAATCCACAGGTTAAACTAACCATGAACAAAAAATATGAAAAAATATTATGTGTATATAAATATGTATAGAATTTCTCCTTGTCATTGTTTCCTACACAATATAGTATGGCAATTATTTACATAGCATTTATGTTGTGGTAGATATTATAAATAATCTAGAAATGTTTTAAATATACAGGAGGATGTGGGTAGGTTATTTGCAAATATCTTGCTATTTTAAACAAGGGACTTGAGCATCCTGAGATTTTGGTACCTGTTTGGGGTCATGGAGTCAATCCCACATGGATACTGAGAAAAAACTCTAATTTCCTCCTACACAACATTGAGAAGTCCATTTCAAGATGCCACAAACAAGAGATAGGTCATGACCAGCCTCAAGGACCAAAGATACAAGGGCAAGAGACCAAAGCAGACTTTTTACACAGGAAGGACTGGGAGGGGCCCATAATGGCTGGGTCCATCAGAAGCCCTGGTCAGAAAGTAAACCTGTCAGGGTTTAGTAAACCTCACAGAACCTGGGAACAGCCCCCACACTCCCTCCTCTGCTGTAGAAACTGCTGGCTCTTTGCAGGCACAAGTGCAGGGCTCCAGCCAGAGGTGAGGATCTTGGGGGTCTTATGGGGCTCAGAGAGCACAGCAGGTGGAACAAGTTTGCCAGGGGCCCTTGAGGCAACTCCTTCATCCAGGCTTTTCACCCACAAAACCCCACCTTTCATCAACGTACATGTTCTGATTCTCAACCTGCCATTGCCACTGCAGTTGACACCCCCACTCCACCAGTCTCAGCAAGGCTTGAGCTTACCTTTATTCCCGTTGATGGTCTCAAGCCTCCCATTCCCTTTCTGGTTTCATGTACAGGCACTTATGTACCTGAGGGGTGAGGATTATCTCAAATTCACATCCTAATCATTTTTATCCCTTGTGAATTTGCAAACATTCCTTTCCTGCCATTCTTAGTTAGGCACATCACCTGATACCCTCCGGAGTAACTCCATACCCTCCTGAGTAACTCCTTTTCATGTGTGGTCTGGGGCTTTGGCTTCTTGTGCACCTTTTTTTTTTTTAAATTCAGTTCAATGTCATGTTGATTAAATTAGCATTTCTCTGGGCAGAATGTGTTCTCTCCAGTTTTCATGAGATACACCCTCTTCTTGGACAAAGGCTGTCATTCAGATTATTTTAGGCCTATTTCCGCATGTCAACACTAGCTTTGAATCTGAATTTTAACTTTAACATCAGCTTTAACAGTACCTTCCCTCTCTTCTTCCTTGTGATTTCCTGCAATGAGATACTATACAGCTGGTGCAAGGAATGAGAGCATATCCTGCTCTGGAGTGGGAAATGGTCCCACATATAATATTAATTTTAAAACAGAGTTGCAAGACAGCATATTTTGAAGGATTCTATTTCCTTAGTTTCCACCCAAACCCCACTTCTGGGTGTCTTGGTTCCTAAACACTGGGAACAAGGTCCTGGTAGCACCTCCATGAAATTTCTGCAGCTGTCTATCAGGGCAGTTTGCTCTGACTCTGGGCTGGGATTGGCAGTCTTCAGAGCTGGCCTGGAGAACCACTTCCTGATTCTTTCCACTCACTTCTCCACTCACATGCAAGCAAGCAGTAGTCAGCCAGCACATCTCCCTTCCTGGGTCAAGTTAAAAGCAGGTGGGTGTTCAGTAGAGAAGTGGGTTTTGCCAGCTCTATGAATAGCTATAATAAATGACCACAAGCTCAGAAGCTTTGGACAGCAGACATTTGTTCTCTCAAGGTGTTAGCAAGGCCATACTCCCTCAGGAGACTCTTGGAAAGAATCCTTCCTCTTCAATTTTCAGTGGCTGCTGTAGCATTCCTGGGCTGTGGCCCCATCACACCAATGTTATTCCTCCATCTTCATAAGGGTTTCTCCCTGTGTAGACCTGAGACAAAACTTCCTCTGCTTCTCTCTTCTAAGAACACCCGTGATAGCATTAGGCACCTGGATGACCCAGAACAGGCTCCTCATCACCAGGTCCTTAATATAATCATGTCTTTAGCCATATAATGTGATATTCACAGGTTTGGGGGGAATTAGTCACACATGTATCTTTGGAGGGGAGTTCTGTTTGCCCCAGTGCACCACATATGGTATTGATGTAGTGAAGGACAAGTGTTAAATATCAAGTTTTGAAAGGGTATCAAAAATACAATCCACAGGCTGGGGTGTAGCTCAAAAAGGGTGGGGGCAGAAATACAACCTATACAAATTCTCTAAAGATAAGCAAGTCCAGCAGTGAACCAGCAGCCAGGTTAGCTGTTTCTCTGTCACATAGACTCAATTCTTCCATGCTGCCCTGGCTCCTATGGGTGCTTGCTAGACCAATTTGAAATCTGTGTGCCAGGTTTCATCCCAGAGATTCCTCAGGCAACGGTCTATACTCCTACTGTGGGAAGTGGATAGATATGAAGGTACTATTGTATGAGATGTGGTTGGCTCAAGTCCTGTTTCAGCTAATGATTAGATCTCCCTCCTTGGACAAGACTTTCACTGCTTAGAATTCTAACCTGCTAAGGGGACAAAAAAAACCTTTAGCTCTTAAGATTGTTTCAAGGATTAAACAATAAAAGGCATGTATGTAATACCTCAACTTTTTAGTACACCAGCCCTGACTGAGAATTAACAGCTCAGGTCAGGGTACAGGAGAAGGACAGGCTGCTGGTTATCCTGACACCTGCTGTCAATAGAGCAGTCTAGGTCAAGCCTCAGCTCTCCACTGTTTTCCAACTTGGTTCAGGAATTTCTGGGGACTAGTCAACTGGCACCACCTACCTTCCCCTGCCCAATTTGAGAAAGTGGCAAAAATCAGAGGTCTCTCTATGCTGATATCAAGAAACTTGCCTCTGACAGATAGATAGATGCCTCATGGTGCAAGATGATTTCCTCTCCATGTTTCCTGTGTCTGTAATAAACAAAGATACTAAGACATGTGCAAGAATAGACCAGAGAAGGGCACTGTGGGGGCATCAGTACTCTGTTCTGCACCAAGATCTGAAGGATAGGTATACCAGTAGGAATGGCTTTTTGTGGGGCTTGGACCAAATAATTAAAGCCCATGCCCTGGCCCCTGGGCCTCTTTGTTTTGCTCCATCACCATCATCATCAACAATAATGCAGCCTCATTAAGACTCCAGGCCAGGCCCAGCCCCAAGAGGTGGTCTAGTTCCTCTTGACTCCCACCTACAGATCTGAGGCCCTTTGGGGGTCTCCATTCTTACCCCCTGCCTACAGCAGTCTGCATGAATTCACCCTTCTACCCCCACAGCTCTATGCAGGCTGCCAGCCACAGCTAAAAATGAAATAAAACCAAACTAAACTGGTGTCAATAGGCAAAGACTTTGGGGATTTTGACTAACTCCAGCCAGGGTCTGTGGCTTATTTATGAACTCATATGGCTTTTTGACTTCTCTGACTTGCCAAATTGCTGACACATTCTTAAATTATTCAGTTTTGCTTTCCTTCTCTGCTGCTTGGGAAGATAAAGCCTCAGGCTTGTGGACCCTGTCTGTTCACAAGGTAATGGCTTTTCTAGGCCACTGTCACCCACCACAGGGAACATCTCAATTCAGCCCTCAGATGTATTTAGCCTGTAGGAGCAGAGAAAGCGGAGCAGAATGTAGCTATAAAATAGAAAATTTTGTGGAAATTAAAGGAACTTCCTAGTAGCATCTGTGCTTTTTCAGAATGATCTCTCATGGTCCATGCTGATTCAGAAAACACCCAGTTGCTTCAAGGACTGACTTGATAACAAGCACTAGAGATTGGGTTGTCAAAAAGACACAAGTTATTTTAGAGCAAAGAAATAGAATGTAGCTTTGAGGACAGTGAGCTTTGTCCTGCTAAAAATGTCCCCAAATATTTTGTCTGTGGCCTGTCATCTGAACTCCACCCTAGTCCCCCCTCACACCATCCCATCTGGAAGATGCTAATAATTCCCAAATTTAGCACTCCCGCAAGGTTCAGACTGGGGCTGATTAACACGTTGTAACTTTCAAATTAAAGACAGGAATGTTTCATCCTCGTCCTGCTTCTACGCAATTACTCTGTAGATTGCTCACAAGGGAACATCAAAAAAGGGGGGGAATGAGCACCAACCTCCCACACTTTAGCTAGGATTGTCACTGCCTTAAAGAAAACTCTCCCTCGCCTTACCTAAGCCTGTTAAGTCAACTCGTGTGAATTCGCTTTGGATGTTAGAAGCATGGGCTTCTTCTCTATGATGGGTGTATCGACATGGCCCTGTGGCACTCATTGCTAGTCTGTGCCAGGTCAAAATAAGTCTGAAAATTCTTAAACACTCCCTTTAAAAGTGAACCCCTCCCCTTAAGTATGGGTGGACATAATGACTCATTGGACAAATAGAATAAAGGCATTAGTGATGGGTTCAACTTCAGAAATTGAGCATATTAATTTTCTATTGCTGCATAACGAATTACCATGAACTTATCCTAAATTACACAAATTGATTATCTCATGGTTCTGTAGGCCAGAAGTCTAGGCATTGTGTGACTGAGTCTTCTTCTCAAGAGTCTCATAAGGCCGAAATGCAGGCACTGGCCAGGACTGAGATCTCAAGTGAAGTTTGGGGTCCTCTTCCAAACTCATGCAGGTTCTTGGTAGAATTGAAGTCCTAGTGTTATAGGGATGAGATCTTTTAGCCTGTTGACTATGGATACTCTTAACTTTAAAGGCTGTCATCTGAACTCCACCAAAGAGGCTGTACTTGAGGTCTGACACTTGGGCTTCATCCACAATATGGTACTTTTCTCCATTAAGACCAACAAAAACATTCATGGCTTCAAATATCTCTAGCCTATATTAAGAGATCACCTGAATAGGGCGGACCAAGAAGGATAATCTCTCTTTGGATCAAGGAGATCATCTCAGAATTATTATCACCCTGGTCATCAAGACCTCCTACTCTGGAGAAAGCCAGTTCCCATATAACAAGGACATTCAAGCAGTCTTGTGGGGAAGTCCTCGTGGGTGGTAATGAGGTCTCTTGTCAGCAGTTAGCCAGGACCCAAGGCTTCCATGCAGACAACCTCCTGAGAGCAAGACCTTTAGTTCCAGTCAAGCTTTCCAATGATGCTGCAGCCCTGGTTTCATCCTCACTGTAACTTCTCCACCGACCTGAGCCACCCCACCACACAACCAAGCTACTTTCAGATCCCTAACCCTGGAAATCTATGTGATACAATAAATGTCTGTTGATTGATGTTTGAGTTAGTTTACAGCAATTGGTTATACAGCAATAAATAATTAACACATTTGCTAAGAGAACAATTAATAACAGTGAGAAAATGCTGCATTGAAACAGAAGAAAAATTCCATGAAAAGTGCTATCCTTCCTGCCTATGCTCAAAAACAGGATTCTCTTCTGGTCCTTTGTCACAGTCTCAATTATCCCGTGGTCACCAATGAATCCTTTCCCTCTCTGTGGGTGACAAGCCATGTTTCCAAACAGCCAGATTCATTGCCTGGGGCCCTGCCACTTCCTGGTTCATTCTGAGGTTCTCCCCAATGTCTTTCCAGGTTCTGACTCGTGTTTTGACCCACTCTAAGTACCGAGCTCACCATCCCAAGTGCTCTTTTCTGTACTCCTTGCTTTTTTTCCTCACTGGCCTTGTACCTTCTTGAGCTTTTGAGTGAAGAATGTGAATTGAGGTTGATATGAAGACTAAGGTCAGGTGGTCCTGAGAAGGGTGCAGCTGGGGCTTCCCAGCCCTGGGCTGAAAGCCATGGCTTAATTTAAGTCATTTCACAGTGAGAAGCAGAGTTTTAAGCCTGGGTTGTTGTTCTCCCAAGCTCTGAACTCAGCACTAGATGGCAAATCACAGCATCTTTGCATCCTCCCGCCCTCCCAAGCTTACATCCACACAGCTATCTCCAGACAGTGACAGTGATGGGGAATCCCAAGGGCACACAGGAGGCCAGACACCCAGCCTGTGCTGTGTGCCTGGGTGAATGAGGTAGACGGGGTAGAGTTCTTCCACTCCCTACTTCCCACTTCTCTTGCTGAACCAGAGCACAGAAGCAGGGACAAATGGTCCTGCATGTTCTGTCATCCATTGTAAACAAGGTAAGGAGAAGCTGTCCTCCTGAGCAGTAGCAGATCCAAGCTAAGTGCCAGCTCCGAGGGAAACAAAGCTAAGACCATGACTATTATTATTTTAGGTCCGCTCACCTTGAACTCAAAGGACCTGTCAGTCTCTAGAAGGCATGACGTGACATAGTCCAGACCCCTTACCCGCCCCTGCCTGGGTGAATAATTGGCACTAAACACGACATGTGTCTGGATTTAATCTATCCTGAACTCAATTACTTGGTTTAGGCAATGGAATTCTGCGTAGGTTCTAGCACTTAAAAGAAGAAGGCTCTGAAATTGTCTGAACCTTGTAGCTGGGGATCTTATTCTTCCTACCCTCCTAGGTGTGTGGCAAGCAAGATGCATGTGTTCCCTGGCGCCACCACCAGCTGGGATGATGCGCCTATTGGGGTCTGTGGGAACAACTCAGAAATCAGATTCTCCAGCTCATGAAGCACTTCCCTACTCATTACTCACCTCATCCCTGGTGCAGAAGTGGAGTGCTGAGAGGGGTAAAATACCCCATCAAGAGGGTGAAAGGATGAAGGCTCCAAGGCACAGTCAACACAGCTGTTGCTTCCCACATTTCTGAGACAGAATGGGAGTCCTCTGTGGCATCTAGAAAGAGGGAAGCAGACTGACAGAGGTCACTAGGAGAGACCTGAGACCCTGCTTGAGCCACCCCACTTTTTCCCCACCCGCTTTAATTTTCTCTGACCAGTGTACACACTCTGGACCTGTTTGGAGAGTCACAAACTTACCCCATGACCTTCCTTCTGCCCCTGAAGGCTGTCTACTTGCTTCAGGGCTACTTGTAGCCCAGACTATTACTGCTCCATTCAACCCACCTGAGCTTATCGGCTCTGGCCATGGAAGCCCCTCTCTGAGCACATCTCAGTGTTATTGGATGTGTCAGTTTTAAGGTTTTGAGTCGGCTTGTCAGCAGCAGGGAGCCTTTTCCTCAGGGCATGGATAGATACCCTGTTAGGAGCAAAATCAGATCAGACCTCCTGGCTAAAGGGCAGCAGATTGAGGTCTCACATGAATATGTACTTACTCTTCAGGCAGCTGCAGAACCCTAACCATCTCAGAGCTCAGCTTGAGCAGGCTTGGCTCTGGGCAGGCTACAAGTCCTGGCTTGGGATTTTAGGAAGGAGGTACAGAAATTCCAATGAGAACACGTGTCTGTTTGCTTCTGGGCTAAGTACACACACTCTGGGAGCAATCTGAATGCTCATTTAGGATTCTTCACTGAATTCTGTGTGGGGCTGCCCTCCAGGGCCTTGCCCTGTACTGAGATGTGCAGTTGGAGGGTGATAGAATCCTTTGGCTTATTTAGTTTTCTCTCAAAATTGTGACACATAGACTAAGATGTTGACAGTGGGAGAAGAAAAAAGCATGTATCTTACACATAATTTTGAATGAGAATCTGAAGCAACTAATAACCACTGCTGTAACATAACTGATCAACATAATTTAGGTCAAACTCTTTGGGTTTGAATCCTGGCTCCACTCACAATTAGTTCTATAATTAGGATCACTTGCTTCACTTCTCTGTGTCTAAGTGTTCCCCATCTGCGCAATGTGGATAATGAAAGCATCTACCTCATTAGGATTTGAGAGAATACACAGACACAGCTTAGAACGCAGTCTGGTTCTACATAAATAATCTAGGATGCAGGTTATATGGAGCTGAATCAGAGATGAAGGACAATTTTTTAAAACGCCAGTACAGGAGATAGTGCCAACTAGCAGAATTGTTTTCAAGAAAAAAGAGCAGTGCTGGCCTTGGGGGTTCTGGGCTTAGGAGAGGGCAGGGGAGGGAATGATGGCTGAAGAGCATGGAGCCAACAACATTCTGTGGGTCCCAGCCTGAGGGTCAACAGATGCCCCAGCCACTCTGGCATTGTGGTCACAGGGAGAAACTACAGAGACAAGGCCACAAGAAGGCACTGTGAGCCCCAGACTAAGGAAGAGGATTGGGAACCATATGAAAAGAAAAGGTGAGGTGCTCTTTGTGCCCTTGTAGCTCAGCTGCAAGTATTTCAGGAGGCCTAAATTCTCAGGGGTCTGGGGCTCCACAGGGTGTTCTCTGCAGTAACATCAAGAATTAGGAGTGGTTTTTCTAGAGGAGATGCTTACTTTGTATTTGGACTTAGGCTTTCCTAAAGCCTAAATGTATTTCCCTTCTGTTCTTTTTATATTCTTGGGATTACATAGCCTAATGTTGAATCAAGAGCTGGGTTCACTGTTGGCCACTTCATACCCTAAAGTTCCTTTAAAGATGAAGCTTGGTAGGGATAAACTTAAGCATCTGCAATTGTAATATCACCTGAGTGACCAAGGTGAGTGGATGCCAGCACCATAGACTATACAGTATAGATTCAAAGATTAGTGAAAACTGACAATAAAGACACTAAGAGAAAAAGCAAGACTCAAAAGCCAATAAGCACACAAATTTTCTCTCATGGACCTTAGAAGAAAATATTTAAAGGCAAGAAGGTCACACCTGTATCTATTCAGAACTTTCTATAGCAGTGCTATACAAAAAAACCACTTTCTTTAGTGATGAATTGTTCTCAACCTGCAGTACCTGATGTATAGCCACTAGCCATGTGTGACTAGAAGATTAGAAATTCTCCTAGTATAGTCAAATTTTTTAATTTTGTTGTTAACTAGTTCAGGGTTAAATGTTTGTAGTCACATGTAGCTAGTGGCTACCATATTGGACAGTGGAGTTCTAGAGGAATGTGGATTACAGATTGGATTTAGAATTAACACTGATTATGACTGAGTCCTGCATCTACATGCAAAGATGTATGTGCACACATATGTGTGCATTCATATACCTACACATGAGCATACCAGTGGATGAACACATATGTGCTCAGAGCTGGCATCTTGGCAGCTTCTTGCCTTGATGGGATCATTCACACCATCCTTGGCTGATGTTCTGACCATGTATTTTTCTTTTTGGCCAGCACACAAATAAATCTAACAAAGATAAATATATCAGAAGAGAATGGATGTAAAGGCTGTGTATGGAAATTAGTCAACATAGAAAGGAAATGTAATCTAAGGAAACTTTGTGGGATACTGTACCTCAAATAGTGATAGCTTATCTCCCAAAAATATAATAAGGAAAAGAACCTTGGCTCTCATGGCAGCTTCCCAACATTTTTATATTCCAGCTAAGCAAGAAGACAGCTCTGCATTATCCTCATTATGCAGGCTTAGATAAGTAATACACCAAGGTGTAGTTTGGGTGTCAGAAGGCTACTGATATTCTGAGTGAACAGAATACAATACTAAGAGAAGTGGCCAGAGCAAAACTACAGAAGCTGTGAGGGACTGGGTGGCAGAATTAAGAGATGGTTGCCACTGTTTAACTATGTGAGCTAATGGCATCTTCTCTACCCAAAACTTCTTGGGGTCCCATAAGAGTGTGACTCAGGCTCCAAAGAGGTTTGAGTTTGTTCCCCAAAGAGCTTCAAGGGTATAACCAAGCACCTGATTTTTTAAAAGACAATTCTGAGAAAGGAATGAACATCTCTAAATTATGTAACTTGGACTCAATTAAATACCCCATGGGAAAGTGTTTGGGGCAAGGACTTGCCCAGGTGAAAAACAATTATTGTTACTTTACCATGAGTCAGTATGTGTTTGAAATAACTTCCATCTGAGCCTGTAGAATGGATAGCCATGTCACTTTTTGGCACCTTCCCAAAATTTAGAAGGATCAAACCTTGTAAGGCATTTGTAAAAACTAAATATCTGACCTCTTTATGCCAGGGGGTGGTATTTGCTTGCTTCCAGCTGTAAAGAGCATTGAGCCTGTGGTATGGTAATGCAGTCATTGTGGGGATCACAATATACCAGTGAGCAGGAGCTCACTCAGCATCATGGGCTGGGACCTCTTAGAATAGTTCCTACAAAACTCATATTAAGGAGGTCCTGCATGTGGGAAAAACTTTCTGGCTACCTGCCCCACCCACCTCCTTCTCCAAGGTCTCTGAGAACTGGTCTTAGAAATTCTTGGGGAAGCCTGGGGTTAACATAAAAACACCTCCATGAAAAGCCCTCTGTCTCCATGTTGGATGGTACATGGTTGTTACCAAGTGAATATGCTCAAAGTGCATGGTGGTGATGGGTTGAAGGCTCAAAGCCTATCTGATTTGAGTTTGGTTCATCCTGCCAAACCTGGAGCTACAGTAAACTAAAAAAATGGTAGCAGGGACTTCCCACAAGGGCACACCCCCAAACTGTCTCAGGCTGGGGCTGGATGGGATTCCAAAGAAACATTAAATGCCAAGAAATTTATTAGAGGAAACTATAGATTGCTGCAACTCATCCTTACAAAGAAGAGCAAGATACAATGATGTTCTACCTAGGCATGTCCCCAGTGAGCTTTGGGTATGGAGTTTATAGGAAGATTTGTGGAATTGGGGCTTAGGATGGTTCCAGTTTTCTTTCAGTGTTTTCATTAACAATCTAAATACTTTAATCAGTGCTCAGGAATGTTCAAGGTCCTAGTTTGAGCTCAAGCCTGAAGGAAAAATCTGCATATAACTGGGTTACAGACTGGTTGAGGCACTCTGGTTTTCAGTCAGGACACAGAAAGAAAGCAGAGGCAACCAGGAACCTACAGGAGGCCTCTCGGGAGGCTGCATGGGTCATTCTGGAAGGTAGAATGAGTTCCCCTGCTCGCTCCACGGTGCCAGCTATCCCCAGAAGCTCCATGTTCTGCAATAGGGTATGGTCTTATGCCTATTTTGAGGTATGGAAACAGTCTGGGAAGTTCTGTGACTTTCCATAAGCAAATGACATATTGTGGCAAAAGGGAAGACTCTAATTGACATCCTGACAACCAATTTTGCCTTTCACCTGTGCCCTCTTGTAGGCTAGTATTTGATTTCTTCCTCAGCCCCTGAGGAAGCTCCTTCAGAGGAAGAGAGGAAATATCATGTGCTTTCTTGGTACACTTGGACTGTGGTGACAGAAAGTAAATTGGGTAGGTTATAAACAACAGACACTTATTTTTGACAGTTTTGGAGGCTAGAAAGTCCAAGGTAAAGGCACTGGCAGACTTGCTGTCAAGGGCCTGCTTCCTGATTCACAGATGGTATATTTTCTTTGTGTTCTCACCTGGGTTTCTTTCTATAAGGACACTAATTCCATCCATGAGGACTCCATTCTCATGACCTAATCACTTACCAAAGACCCCTACTTCCTAACACTATCTCCTTGGGGAAGTGAGAATTTGGACCTATGAATTTTGAGGAGACATAAACTTTTGGTCCATGTATTAGCTGACATTTTACCATGACACCGTGACACACAGCACTTCTCAGGTCTCACCAGCACATGTCTGGCTGAAAAAAGCCCTATCTAAACAGTGACACAAAGAGCCCTTGTGGCAATGGAACTGCTCTGCATCTCCACTTGTAGTAGTCACAGAAAAAAAAAAAAACACGTAAAAGAAGTGCATAAACACACACATACACACACACACACACCCTGAAATATAGTAAAATCAGAATAAGGTCCATGATTATTACATCAATGTAAATTTTCTGGTTGCAACAGTGTGCTATTCTTATGCAAGATGTTAGCATTTGGGTGATTAGGGATCTCTCTGTATTTTTTATAATTGCATGTAAACCTACAAATACATTAAAAGTCTAAAAAGTGTTACAGTATGAAGTGTGCTTAATTTAAGTTGATTTAATAAATGAGCAGCTGAAGCCCAGGAAATGAGAGCTTCTTTCTTCTCCACTCTGTCCCATCCTGGGGTCTCAGGATTCAAACCCACCTGTCTGCCCCTCTTCTCAATACTCCATGCTGCAGAGCTGAGGCCCAGCCTCCTTCTATGGGACCAGGAGAGAGCCCAACTGTGAACAATGAGCACATGTGGCCACAGGTGAATGCTGAGTCAAGCATTTCAACACAGGAAACCTTGGGGAGGGGCTGGGCTTGACATTGCTGGGGGATCTTAAAAGAGAATTGTGTACTGAGTGGGAGCTGGGAAAGTGAGGAGTGAGAGAAAATCTGCAGGAGGAGCTCTCCAGAGGCTGAGGAATATCCACACAGTACCCTTCTCCCA